TGGAGATGGGAAGTACAGTGCCTGCACTCTGAAGGAGGGGTGTTAATGTTGCAGTTTAAAAACTGTAGTGTAAAGCACCCTTCTGGCAAGACAGTGATGGAGTGAATGATGGTGAAAGTTTTTCTTTTTCGGGCCACCCTGCCTTGGTGGGAATCGGCCGGTGTGATAATAAAATAAATAATAAAAAAACTATGCATGCTCTCTGCCAATCCTGAGATACCTTACCCTCTTCCATACATTTATTAAATAATAGCACCAACCACTCCAAAACTATATTCCCACCTGCTTTTAACATTTCTATCTTTATCCCAACAATCCCAGCTGCCTTACTCCCTTTCATTCAACCCACTGCCTCATGAACTTCCCCCATACTCGCAACCGGCTCTTCCTCACTCCTACAAGATGTTATTCCTCCTTGCCCTATACACAAAATCACAGCTTCCCTATCTTCATCAACATTTAGCAATTCCTCACAATATTCCCTCCATCTTCCCGATACCTCTAACTCTCCATTTAATAACTCTCCTCTCCTATTTTTAACTTTCAAATCCATTTGTTCCCTAGGCTTCCTCAACTTATTAATCTCACTCCAAAACTTTTTCTGAGTTTTTTAATGTTTCAGGTACTTTTAAAAAATATGAAATATTCAAAATTAATATTGATTTTTATCGATTTTATTGGAATTTTTTTAAAAATGTGTAAAATATAGGTAAATCTTGAAAAATCTTCGAAAACATCTCACCCACTCTCTCATTTGATCTCTTTTTACATTGCTTCACCACTCTCTTAACCTCTCTTTTTCTCTCTATATACCTAAAATCGGTACCTGACCAGCCGGGCTGTGGCTCGTATGTTGGATTGCGTGCAGCCAGCAGTAACAGCCTGGTTGATCAGGCTCTGATCCGCCAGGAGACCTGGTCACAGACCGGGCCGTGGAGGCGTTGACCCCCGGAACTCTCTCCAGGTAAACCTCCTTGCATCACTTCTAATTGTAAAAACCTCTCATATGCTAACTTTTTCTCCCTTATTACTCTCTTTATCTCTTATTACTCTCTTTACATCATCATTCCACCAACTGCTCTTCTTCATTCCCACACCCACTTTCCTGTAACCACAAACTTCTGCTGAACACTCTAACACTCTAACACTACATTCTTAAACCTACCCCATACATCTTCGACCCCAGTGCCTATACTCTCACTAGCCCATCTATCCGCCAATAGTTGTTTATATCTTACCCTAACTGCCTCCTCTTTTAGTTTATGCACCTTCACCTCTCTCTTCCTTGCTGCTTCTATTATCCAGTGTAATATTTACTCTGAACGTACATTCTATGTAAAGGGACAGAAAATACTGCTCCTCCAAATACTTCTAAAAGAACTGATGAGTGCACTGAAATTTGTTCAGAGAGGGGAAGTACTCCCTCCTTTATAAGGGAACAATATGTCTCAGTATCCCTAAATGTTCTTGCTTCCCTTTTCTTTGAACTCTCCTGAAGGGAGATATGGCAAGTACAGTAGTGTGGAGCCATGCCACACTCCAGTTCTTTCTCATTCATTTCAATAGGGAGATTAGTAATTCTCCCTAAGGGCTGGGGTTTAGCTGGGCAGTTGAATCACAGATGGCTGGGTTTATGGCAAAAATAACAGGTTACTTCTTGTTTTTCCTTTGGTTCCCTACTGATTTTGTGGTTGGCACCAGTCTGTGTGCTAACATCGTTGTTCACCTTGTTGAACACGAGTTTGATGCCACTCACCAGGTTGACCGTGAGTTGTATAACATGGCTCACCAGGTGGCTTAGTTGGTTGGCGTCATCATTCACCTTTGTCCTGCCATTTCGTCTTCCAGTCAGGAACTCTTCTCTGACGATCTCTACTCATGCCAGGCTGTTGAGAAGAAAGATAAGACCACTCGGACGAGGAGCGGACATTCTCAAAAGTGTCAGCCAACGTGGCTGCTTCCAATGCAGTGGTCAACAAATGATTCTCCAGAAAGACTCTAACCTCTGGTCCAATAGATTCCAGCAGGTTATCCACCAAAAGCAACTGGGTGAGATCAGAAAAATTTGCAACACCATTGGCCTTGTACCATTTGGTGAATGCCTTCAACTGCTGCCTTACAAAGTCTACACAAGACTGACCCCAGATGACGCTTGCCTAATTTGAATTCCCTCCTGTACTTGGTGGGAATACACTGATAAGCCCCAAGAACCGTGGTTTTCACCACCTGATAGTTGACAAATTCGTCATTATTCAACACAGATGTAAACTCCTGTGCCTTACCATACAATGCTGTATGCACCAATGCTGCCCAATGCACCTCAGGCCACCTTAATGCTCGAGCCTGGTTTTCAAACGCCTCAAAAAACTGTTCAGGCTTGGCTTCAACAAAACAAGGAACTAGCTGTACTGCCTTTTGCACACTAAAGTCATCTACGGTCTGCTTGAAATGCCTCCTCTTCTTCTCTCTATCAAACTCCTCCCTAGCATATGTTCACTGCTCCCTGGTTGTTTCAAGATTGAGTTTGGGTAACTCAAGCACCAATGAAGCAGACTCGCCCTGAGACAAACCCAATGCACCTGCTTCACAAGACTGCTGGTCTGGTTGCTCTTGTGTTGTCCCTTCCATATTACAAGGGAACCTAAGTGGAGATCTGCAATTATCAGCTCCTGTAGCAGGAGATACCTAAGTTTGGAGCACCATAGTTGATTCAGCTCTCAACTTTGTACGAATAATGTCATGAAGATGCACAGCAGTGAGAGTCCATTGATACTCAATACCAACAGAGTGAGCAATTTGCCAGAAATGCTGTAGAGATAGTTTGGGCAGATTTAGTAGTGTATATTCAGACACCAATCGCCTGACTCGTAAAGGTGGCATTAACCCCAACTTAACATGCTGTTTGCAATATACGCAATAAGCAGCAATGCACAATACGACTGCAGGATACACACACACACAATAGCAAGGCTGACACGCATTAACGAAAGCGAATGCAAGACTGACACACAATAATGAAAGCGAATGCAAGGCCGACAAGCAATGCCGAGCGATAGCAAGGCTATCTGAATGATACTAAGACCAACTCCAGCTCCAGCTCACACGAAGAGGGCTTCCCATATTATGAACACAGGTAATAAATGGCCTGTTGACCTAGTCGTAATGGGTTCAGAGTGAAAATAAACACAGCAGTAGTATTTAACTTGTACTTTCCTTCACCAATTATATATATATCTTATGTGCACTTATGTACACTATGTACAAGAGTTGAAATGTAAGTGTACCACATAGAGATCGAGGCAAAGACAAAAGCCTGAGAGAGAGAGAGAACTGTGCTCAACCAGAGGCTATACGAGTCTGGCAAGGGCTGAGTGAAACCACCTCACATCAGCACTTGGCAGGCCCACCTGTGATTGGTTAATGAATGGAGGTACTGATTTAATAATGGGGCCCCTAAAGATTGCTAAACCCTTAGCACCCAGTTCGTTGGTTAGGAAGCAGCCTATATAGGAGTGTGTACATATGCTGAATAAAGTGTAACATACTCTTTGCATGCCACACTGACATTCTCTACAAGGGCTGATGTGATTCTTCACATCTTGCCTTATTTTTGGACAGTAAAACTCTTACAATATTCTATACAGAGATTTTGTAATTTCTAAATGACCTCCTAAAGAGGAACTTTGAGTTACGTTCATAATTTGTGAACTAAATGTCTTAGGAACTACCAGTCTATCTGTTTTTGGGCTTCCCCCTGCCTCCTTACCAGTCTGTGTGCAGAGCAGTAGGTTGCGTTTAATTTTATATTTGACTGGGTGATCTGAGTAGGATTCACCCATGGTTGCCTGAACATTCTTTGTACACTCTCTAGGTCAGCAATTTTGCCAGCCTTGAAGGGGGCAGTTAAGACAGCAGTAGTCCAGCCCAGAGAAAACATGCAATTTGAAGAGAATCATCATGGGCTTGGCATCCCTAGTTTTGAAGGTTCTCATTATCCATACTATCATTTTCCTAGCAGATGAGGTAGATACATTGTTGTGGTGTTTGAAAGTGAGATCCTCTGACATTATCACTTCTAGGTCCTTCACGTTAGTTTCTCGCTCTATTGTGTGGTTAGAATTTGTTGTACACCCTGATACAGTTTTAATTTTCTCAGTTTTCCATATCTGAGTAGTTGAAATTTCTCTTCATTGTGACCAAGACAGGTGAACATGTTCACATGTTAGTGTGTTTGTGACTGTCTGATTACTATTTGTGTACCTGGTATGAGTGTCAGAACAAAGATTTGCTCTAAAATCACAAGAACTACTATAAATTGTAATTACCAGAACATAAAAACTAAGTAAATTAAAAAAATGTGAAAATAAAGTACATCTGCAGGACTCCATGTTGCCGTCAGGTGAGCACCCAGCACCAACTTCGCTGTCTTGTATCTTGGTAAGTACTGACATTAAAAATTTTTTGGGGTCCTTTTACACACAGAAAATTAACCTTTTGTTTTACAGACAATTTTTCTTCTTTTCTCAAAATATTTGAAGCGCAAGCAGAAATGCACTGATCAGCATCTTGGCAGTTTTACAAGGATAAAAGTAGTAAGTTTAAACAGAATATTATTGTGCCAGTCTATCTCAGGTTATAATGTGGACTCTCGTTTGAAAATCAGATGCACCTAAAAAATATAATTACATGTGATAAATTACCATCCCGGTGAGCACCTTGGGCTTAACATCAAATCTTACAGCAAAATTAATTTGTTTAATGTAGCTTTCACTTAATGAATGAGTCATACATTCCATATCTGTGTGGTTAAGTCAGGGCTGACTGCGCAGGAAAATATTCATCATGACATGTGCTCACAAACTAAGTAAAAAAGGCAACTCGTAACTGATATATCTGTTCTTATATGTATGAGGAATGAGGCTGCTGACTGATTATGATGTCTGGGGTAAAAGTAGGCAATAACCAGTCATTACATATACAAAACAAAACAGAGTACTTACTTATTAAAATATGAATTAACCAGGATCAGTTCATTCCAATTAGCAAACAACAGGTCCAGTTGTTTCTCAGTGATGATGCCAGAAGCTCTCATAGGACTGATGAATGCCTGCAATATGTTCAAGTCCTCTCCTTAGTAACACAACAACATTCATAGACTGACCACCAATTTAAATATTATTAATTCCAAAAATATTTTTGTTCCAAAAGAGATTTAAATGCTTAATTTTTTTTACATAGTTTTATATCTTCATTATGCAACCCATACCCATCCTGTGTGTGGTAGTCACCCCATACCCATCCTGTGTGTGGTAGTCACCCCATACCCATCCTGTGTGTGGTAGTCACCCCATACCCATCCTGTGTGTGGTAGTCACCCCATACCCATCCTGTGTGTGGTAGTCCCCCCATACTTGTCCTGTGTGTGGTAGTCATCCCATACCCATCCTGTGTGTGGTAGTCACCCCATACTTGTCCTGAGTGTGGTAGTCACCCCGTACTTGTCCTGTGTGTGGTAGTCACCCCATACTTGTCCTGTGTGTGGTAGTCACCCCATACCCATCCTGTGTGTGGTAGTCACCCCATACCCATCCTGTGTGTGGTAGTCACCCCATACTTGTCCTGTGTGTGGTAGTCACCCCATACTTGTCCTGAGTGTGGTAGTCACCCTGTACTTGTCCTGTGTGTGGTAGTCACCCCATACTTGTCCTGTGTGTGGTAGTCACAACATACCCATCCTGTGTGTGGTAGTCACCCCATACCCATCCTGTGTGTGGTAGTCACCCCATACTTGTCCTGTGTGTGGTAGTCACCCTATACCCATCCTGTGTATGGTAGTCACCCCATACCCATCCTGTGTGTGGTAGTCACCCCATACTTGTCCTGTGTGTGGTAGTCACCCCATACCCATCCTGTGTGTGGAAGTCACCCCATACTTGTCCTGAGTGTGGTAGTCACCTCATACTTGTCCTGTGTGTGGTAGTCACCCCATACTTGTCCTGTGTGTGGTAGTCACCCCATACTTGTCCTGTGTGTGGTAGTCACCCCATACCCATCCTGTGTGTGGTAGTCACCCCATACTTGTCCTGTGTGTGATAGTCACCCCATACTTGCGCTGTGTGTGGTAGTCACCCCATACTTGTCCTGTGTGTGGAAGTCACCCCATACTTGTCCTGTGTGTGGTAGTCACACCATACCCCTTCTGTGTGTGGTAGTCACCCCATACTTGTCCTGTGTGTGGTAGTCAACCTGTACCTACCCTGTGTGTGGTAGTCACCCTATACCTATCCTGTGTGTGGTAGTCACCCTATACCTATCCTGTGTGTGGTAGTCACCCCATACCTATCCTGTGTGTGGTAGTCACCCCATACCCATCCTGTGTGTGGTAGTCACCCCATACCCACCATGTGTGTGGTAGTCACCCCATACCCATCCTGTGTGTGGTAGTCACCCCATACCCATCCTGTGTGTGGTAGTCCCCCCATACTTGTCCTGTGTGTGGTAGTCACCCCATACCCATCCTGTGTGAGGTAGTCACCCCATACTTGTCCTGAGTGTGGTAGTCACCCCATACTTGTCCTGTGTGTGGTAGTCACAACATACCCATCCTGTGTGTGGTAGTCACCCCATACCCATCCTGTGTGTGGTAGTCACCCCATACTTGTCCTGTGTGTGGTAGTCACCCTATACCTATCCTGTGTATGGTAGTCACCCCATACCCATTCTGTGTGTGGTAGTCACCCCATACTTGTCCTGTGTGTGGTAGTCACCCCATACCCATCCTGTATGTGGAAGTCACCCCATACTTGTCAAGGGTGTGGTAGTCACCCCATACCCCTTCTGTGTGTGGTAGTCACCCCATACTTGTCCTGTGTGTGGTAGTCACCCCATACCCATCCTGTGTATGGTAGTCACCCCATACCCATCCTGTGTGTGGTAGTCACCCCATACTTGTCCTGTGTGTGGTAGTCACCCTGTACCTACCCTGTGTGTGGTAGTCACCCTATACCTATCCTGTGTGTGGTAGTCACCCTATACCTATACTGTGTGTGGTAGTCACCCCATACCTATCCTGTGTGTGGTAGTCACCCCATACCCATCCTGTGTGTGGTAGTCACCCCATACTTGTCCTGTGTGTGGCAGTCACCTTATACCTATCCTGTGTGTGGTAGTCACCCTATACCTATCCTGTGTGTGGTAGTCACCCTATACCTATCCTGTGTGTGGTAGTCACCCCAGGGCCAGACTCATGGAACTCAGTGTTCATCAAGAACTGCAAGAAGCCCCTATCACGAGCCTTTTCCATCCTATGGAGAGGGAGCATGGACATGGGGGTCGTCCCACAGTTACTAAAAACAACAGACATAGCCCCACTCCACAAAGGGGGCAGCAAAGCAACAGCAAAGAACTACAGACCAATAGCACTAACATCCCATATCATAAAAATCTTTGAAAGGGTCCTAAGAAGGAAGATCACCACCCATCTAGAAACCCATCAGTTACACAACCCAGGGCAACATGGGTTTAGAACAGGTCGCTCCTGTCTGTCTCAACTATTGGATCATTACGACAAGGTCCTAAATGCACTAGAAGATAAAAAGAATGCAGATGTAATATATACAGACTTTGCAAAAGCCTTCGACAAGTGTGACCATGGCGTAATAGCGCACAAAATGTGTGTTAAAGGAATAACAGGAAAAGTCAGTCGATGGATCTATAATTTCCTCACTAACAGAACAGAGAGAGTAGTCGTCAACAGAGTAAAGTCCGAGGCAGCTACGGTGAAAAGCTCTGTTCCACAAGGCACAGTACTCGCTCCCATCTTGTTCCTCATCCTCATATCCGACATAGACAAGGATGTCAGCCACAGCACCGTGTCTTCCTTTGCAGATGACACCCGAATCTGCATGACAGTGTCTTCCATTGCAGACACTGCAAGGCTCCAGGCGGACATCAACCAAATCTTTCAGTGGGCTGCAGAAAACAATATGAAGTTCAACGATGAGAAACTTCAATTACTCAGATATGGTAAACACGAGGAAATTAAATCTTCATCAGAATACAAAACAAATTCTGGCCACAAAATAGAGTGAAACACCAACGTCAAAGACCTGGGAGTGATCATGTCGGAGGATCTCACCTTCAAGGACCATAACATTGTATCAATCGCATCTGCTAGAAAAATGACAGGATGGATAATGAGAACCTTCAAAACTAGGGAGGCCAAGCCCATGATGACACTCTTCAGGTCACTTGTTCTATCTAGGCTGAATATTGCTGCACACTAAGAGCACCTTTCAAGGCAGGTGAAATTGCTGACCTAGAAAATGTACAGAGAACCTTCACGGCACGCATAATGGAGATAAAACACCTCAATTACTGGGAGCGTTGAGGTTCCTAAAACTGTATTCCCTGGAAAGCAGGTGGGAGAGATACATGATTATATACACCTGGAAAATCCTAGAGGGACTAGTACCGAACTTGCACACGAAAATCACTCACTACGAAAGCAAAAGACTTGGCAGACGAGGCAACATCCCCCCAATGAAAAGCAGGGGTGTCACTAGCACGTTAAGAGACCATACAATAAATGTCAGGGGCCCGAGACTGTTCAACCGTCTCCCAGCATACATAAAAGGGATCACCAACACACCCCTGGCAGTCTTCAAGCTGGCACTGGACAAGCACCTAAAGTCGGTTCCTGACCAGCCGGGCTGTGGCTCGTACGTTGGTTTGCGGGCAGCCAGCAGCAACAGCCTGGTTGATCAGGCTCTGATCCACCAGGAGGCCTGGTCACAGACCGGGCCGCGGGGGCGTTGACCCCCGGAACTCTCTCCAGGTAAACTCCAGGTAAACATACTTGTCCTGAGTGTGGCAGTCACCCCATACCAATCCTGTGTGTGATAGTCACCCTATACCTATCCTGTGTGTGGTTGTCACCCTATACCTATCCTGTGTGTGGTAGTCACCCTATACCTATCCTGTGTGTGGTAGTTACCCTATACCTATCGTGTGTGTGGTAGTCACCCTATACCCATCCTGTTTGTGGTAGTCATCCTATACTTATCCTGTGTGTGGTAGTCACCCTATACTGATCCTGTGTGTAGTAGTCACCCTATACCTATCCTGAGTGTGGTAGTCACCCATACCTATCCTGTGTGTGTGGTAGTCACCCTATACCTATCCTGTATGTGGTAGCCACCCATACCTATCCTGTGTGTGGTAATCACCCTATACCTATCCCGTGTGTTGTAGTCACCCATACCTATCCTGTGTGTGTGGTAGTCACCCTATACCTATCCTCTGTGTGGTAGTCACCCTATAATTATCCTGTGTGTGGTAGTCACCCTATACCTATCCTGTGTATGGTAGTCACCCATACCTATCCTGTGTGTGGTAGTCACCCTATACCTATCCTGTGTATGGTAGTCACCCATACCTATCCTGTGTGTGGTAGTCACCCTATACCTATCCTGTGTATGGTAGTCACCCATACCTATCCTGTGTGTGGTAGGCACCCTATACCTATCCTGTGTATGGTAGTCACCCATACCTATCCTGTGTGTGGTAGTCACCCTATACCTATCCTGTGAAAGGTAGTCACCCATACCTACCCTGTGTGTGGTAGTCACCCTATACCTATCCTGTGTGTGGTAATCACCCTATACCTATCCTGTGTGTGGTAGCCACCCTATACCTATCCTGTGTGTGGTAGTTACCCTATACCTATCCTGTGTGTGGTAGTCACCCTATACCTATCCTGTGTGTGGTAGTCACCCTACACCCATCATTTGTGTGGTAGCCACACTATACCTATCCTGTGTGTGGTAGTCACCCTATACATATCCTGTGTGTGGTAGTCACCCTACACCTATCCTGTGTGTGGTAGTCACCCTATACCTATCCTGTGTGTGGTAGTCACCCTATACCCATCCTGTGTGCGGTAGTCACACTATACCTATAATGTGTGTGGTAGTCACCCCATACTTGTCCTGTGTGTGGTAGTCACCCCATACTTGTCCTGTGTGTAGAAGTCACCCATACCTATCCTGTGTGTGGTAGTCACCCTATACCTATCCTGTGTGTGGTAGTCACCCTATACCTATCCTG